CCACCCAGCCACCCAGCCATCCAACCATCCAACCATCCAACCACCCACCCATCCAACCACCCACCCATCCACCCATCCATCCATTAATCCCACTAATGTTGATTGGATCACTCTAGATATGCTGATCGTGCCAAGAAAATCAAGAACAAAGCTGTCGTAAATGAAAATCCTATGGACAAATTGATCCGAGAGCTGAAGGAAGAAAATGACAAGCTGAAGAAGGCATTGGATACAGGTTCCCTTGGGATGGTTGCTGGAGGAGGGAACTTGTCACCTGAAGGTCTGAACCACTTTTGATTTATTCTTTAAAGATAACAAAAACCTTAATAATTAAGTCAAATATCAAGAACTTTAATAGCCAAGCTTTCTGGCTCAAATTGACTGTCTTCAAGGGTTATGATGCGTACAAATAAACAACAAGTGCATGATGAGCTTCTAATCAATCCTCTGATTTTTGTAGAGATTGAAAAAATGCGTAAAGAAATGGAAGAACAGATAAGAGCTCAACTTGAAGCGAATATGGACAGTATGATGAGCTGGGATGAAAAGGTATTAAAATGAATGGATGGGTGGATGGACAGAAGGGATAGGTAGATTGAAGGGATGGGTAGATGGATGAAAGGGTGGATGGAAGGATGGGTGGATGGATGGATGGATGGAAAAGATGGGTGAGTGGATGGAGGGGATGGGTGGATAGATGAAAGGATGGACAGAATGGATGGGTGCATCGATGAAAGGGTGGATGGAAGGGATAGGTGGATGATGGAAGGGGTGGGGGGATGGAAGGTTGGGCTAGTAGATAGATGGAAGGGTTGGATGGAAGAGATGGGTGAGTGGATGGATGGGTTGGTTGGAAGGGATGGGGGGATGATGGAAGGGATTGGGGGATGGAAGAATGGGCTTAGTAGAGAGATAGAAAAGTTAGCTGGAAGAGATGGGTGAGTGGATGGATGGGTTGGTTGGAAGGGATGGGGGGATGATGGAAGGGATTGGGGGATGGAAGAATGGGCTTAGTAGAGAGATAGAAAAGTTAGCTGGAAGAGATGGGTGAGTGGATGGATGGAAGGGTTGGATGTAAGAGATGGGTGGTGGGAAGGCTAAAGAATAAATGGATGGAACAACAATTGAGTGAGRGCTTGCAGTATAAAAAAGATTAATGTGCCTTTAGCCATGTACCAATGAACTTGGTTGAGCTAGGATAACTTTTGCCTAAGCCTCAACATCGGCAAGAACTAAGCACCAAGTGTGATCTTTTGTTCATTCCCCTCCTCAGCTTCAAGTGTCCCGTACAGAAAATGCTAGCTCTGATTCCAGTGAGAAAGAGCAGAAGCTCAACACAATTCCTCACATCGTGAACCTGAATGAAGACTCTTTGTTGTCGGGTGTCGTCATACACTTCCTGGACAAAGGTAATTTGTGAAGCATAGATGGCGTGTAGTGAGAGCGCTCGCCTCTCATCCTATGACCAGGGTTCAATTCCTGGACTTGTCRTATGTGAGTTGCTTGTTAGTTCTCTCTTGTGCTTTGAGAGTTTTCCTCCAGTTTTTCGGTTTTAATAACCTTAAATGTGGTCATACTTTTGCACGTTGTGCTGTAAATCCTGTTTATTTTATTTTATTTACTTGATTTTCTAATTCAGAGGAGGTTACCGTGGGCAACAAGAAGGGTGATCCTCCTCCATCAATTTTGCTGAGTGGACTGAGGTGAGCGCCAACCTTTTTAAAGATTTTTCTTGTTTAATTTTACTTACGGTAATAATAACACTTCTCATACTGCTCCTAAGATTTCTGAAAATTGTTGGACTCTGATGTTACTTAGATAGCCATTGTCATTTTCTTTCATTTCTTTTGTTGTTTAGCATCCAAAAACAGCATGCAGTCATCACAGTGAAGGAATCTGAGATCACCATCAAACCTGCTACAACTGGCTCCAAAACCAAAGTGAATGGAATGCCGCTGACAGGGGAGACACCCCTTAAACACATGGACAGGATCTTGTTTGGTAAATTAGTCTAATTAAGTTTTACAGTTTACATCTATGAATGAGGATTACCTGCTGGCTGGGCTGGTAGTAAAAAGTACTCTCCCCTTGTAGATCTGCCAGTCCATGCTATCAGTCCACTTGTTCATCCCTCTGTCTGTAGATCTACCAGTCCACTTGTTCAACCATCTGTCAGTCCATGCTATCAGTCCACTTGTTCATCCCTCTGTCTGTAGATCTACCAGTCCATGCTATCAGTCCACTTGTCCATCCGTCTGTCTGTAGACCATCTGTCAGTCCATGCTATCAGTCCACTTGTTCATCCCTCTGTCTGTAGATCTGCCAGTCCATGCTATCAGTGCATTTGTTCATCCATTTGTCTGTCTGTCTGCATGTGTTGTGATTGGCTATCTCCACCATACGCTGATGTATATTTTCATTAGGTTCCAACCACATGTACTATTTAAAGAACCCCAAGAATACTGAAAAAAGTGAAGGCTCCCCAGACAAGGTGGATTGGGATTTTGCACAGAAAGAAATTGCAGAAGCCAAAGGATTTGCTACAGCATTTGGTTCTGGACTATCCAAAGGTAAACCAAAGTAGATCACCAAGGGCGGATCCAGCCAAAATTTTAGGGGGGGGGCTAATTGAGTTTCTTCCGTCAACGCAACGGAAAAACAATATAAAAAAGCATCATTTTTTTCTGCTGAAGGGGGGCTTCAGCCCCCCTTAGCCTCCCTGGATCCGCCCTTGATCACATAACTTATAAGGGAGTCAATGAATATGTATTCAAATCCTGGTCCTAGTTTGCTAAATTCCAAATCAGTTTTTGCTCTGACTCATAGACCTTTTTGGCTTCGTATGCAAATTGCCTATTCCAGACCACCTAACATTCCCTAGATATTGTTATTTAACTTGAAATGCTAGATATATTGGTRAACAAGATATCAAACTTCGCAGGTCGCATTTCAATTATTATGGTAGTATTTTGAATGATTTTTTTATTTTTGCAGAACAACAGCTTGCTCAGGAGCAGGTTCTGGAGTTACTGCCATTAGTAAGTGAAGTCAATGCAGTCAGTGAGGAGTTGGACAAGGGAAAGTGAGTAGAACCGTCTTTGTTTGTTTTTACAAGGGCTTGGGTAACACTTAATAGCCAGTGGCTAACAAACCTGTGGCCTTCATTTCATGATCGAATTGGAATTTCGGAGTTGATTAATTTTGTGAAGGGCGGAGAACCTGGAGAAAAACCCTCGAAGCACAGGAGAGAACCAACAAATACTTCTACTCCCATAAAACACCAAGACCAGTAGGACTTGAACTAGTCTCCCTCGCATCCGTTTTTAGTGTCGGTTGTCAAGCAATGCGAGGGATCATTGCGTGACGACGGACACTAAAAACGGATGCGAGGGACACTAGACTCGAACCCTGGTCGCATCGATGAGATACAAGCACTTTCACCACTACGCCACCAGCCGTGCTTCTGAACAAAAATTGTATCACAGCCTCATTGGTGGATTTAGGGTTGAACCCAATGGGTCGTGCCCCCCTTTTATTTTGGTTAGTCAAGAGTTTCTTTAATGCCATTATTAGTTTTATGTCATAAAATATTGATTATTTCTTACCAAGGACTTTTGAAGTGATTCTGATTTCTGGTGCCGCTCAAGGAAACACTACTTCAGGAACCAAGTATGTAATAGCATCATTAATAAATGCACAGAAAACAGTGTACAAATCCTGCTAGCTGAATTTGCTAGGATGTTATAATGGTCTATTGGTCAGGGACTTGCTGTGGAGCATGGTTTTGTAATTGAGTGAGGGCACTAACTGGGGGGTGCTAACGTTTATACAGGGAACCATGTATATTTTTTTCAAGTACATTAAAAAAGTGCTTTTAGTGGAGCTGGGGGAGTTCAGAAATATTTAAACATGACACCTCGACCTTGATGCACCAACCCAAGCCTCCCCCAGTGTGTGAAGGGGCAGGCATTTCTTAATTTATGTAAAATAACGGTATAATTTATGGATTAAAAGTTATAGACTCTACTTTAACATTTAAAAAATACTGCCAACTAATTTTGATTTAAAGCTAAACCTTTGATTAACAATTAA